TGGCTTGCCAGGGCTGAGTCCCGGCACCTTTAGGCTTGGCAGTTAATAGCCCCGGCACCTTTGGGCTTGCCTCCTCAGTTATGAAAGTAATAAAATTGCTTGAGCCCCAGCACCTCTTTCATTACAAATTAAGCACTGCCCTGCAGTAACATAAACATGACAAATATTCCATTTAAACTTCCTAACAGAATCCTCACCAGAGTTTTTTCTATCTCTAAATACTATGGTTCTTTATCACTAAATGTTTTTATGTTTTATTACTTTGTATTTTTTGTAGTCGTTAAAAATATAGAAAACTTTTCTTTTCCAATGTATGAGTTAGTTTAAATGTATCGGATACGCTTAGTGTCAGATTCTGTATAAAAATGGGGTTACACAACAACAGTCACTGTTATTGGAATCAGAAGACAGGTTTTATTGGTTTTGTTTTTTTGTGTTTATATTGAATACTCAAATAACTAAATTTTAAGAAATGCAAATACATTCTCTTTATGTCATTATAAAGCTAGCAATATCAATATAATAAAAAGGTGAAAGGCTTACATTTGTAGACTACTAATTCAGTATTATACCTTCTGGAATTTTTTGTCATTTATTTCTGCTTAAGAATTTATAACCTGGAGTAGGCTGGTAATAATGGGCTCTAAACCTTACAAACTCCCAAACCACTGGATTAAAGAATCTACTGTATATGATGTAGTCCCTGAAGCACGTTTTAATGGTTTTGTTGAAAGGGGATCAATCATGGAGCAACCTCTTTATACATACAAAGTTGCAACCAAGCAGTCTAGCATGGCTGATAGTTCACATTTTTCCTAGTGTAATACAATTGTAAAATTAAGCACAGGATGCTCAACAATCAATAATAGCCTTAATATCCAAATTATTTAATCTGTATAATATAGTTCTTTTATCTATTTAATAAAATATCTGTGTTGTTTGTGTTGCTGTTATTTAAATATATTTATTAAGAGATATTTCCATAGGTTACCCCAGCTAACCTGGATAACTTGTTTCCAGATTTTCTAGACATAGCTGTAAATTGAAACTCAAATTAGATTTACTGGGGGTGATTGGGTTTTTGAGTATTCTTCACTTGTATTGGTCTCAAGCACATGCTTTCATTCTTACATTCTTGCCTAGTTCAAGGTTCCCCAAGTGAAATTTTGCAGGCTCTCAAACAAATGCTAGAGAAATACACATCTCCCCAGGGAACCTTTATCACCGTGACAGTTAATCTTCCAAAGGGGATTGCACACATCAGCACCATGGGTAAAATATTTTAAATGGGAGAAGCGCTGTGAAAATTTCATTCCTAATATGATTAAAAATGTAATACTTGGAAAAATACCCTCCATGTGGAATTACTCTCCAATAGCCCTCACAGATATCCCCTAAAGAATTTTCCAAAATATACAGTTTTTAAAACTTTAACTTTTTTTTTATTAGAGCATGAACAGCTATAATCCACCATAGTTCTGGGACATGTCAGGGTTGTGATATCAGTTCTCAATTACTAATAAGGTACTTACAAGCAGTTTAGACCTTTAATTTAATCTACATTATCTTGATGGGGTTTGTTCTCTGAATTCCCAATTCCATAGCTCTCTCTAAAAATTATACACCTCTCTGGCACTGACTCATACAGCACTGACTCATGCTTCTGACAATAATTACAATAGTGACAATAAAACCGTAGCCAAAGTTTCCAGTGAATGGGATGAAAATTATTTTAAACTCTGGCATTATAGTGTCAGCGAGATCATAATCCTATCCAGAGAGCTGTGGTGGTGAAGCTACTACTGATTTCTAATCTGTGAAGTAAGTGAAACAGAGCCATGTTGTTTAACCTCTTGAACCTTATACTTCTTACAGGGTTTTACATTAAATCAATTCACAGTGACAAAAAATCTATTTTAAAATGTAGGTATGTAGTCCTAATTAATATGTTGTTGTTTTTTAAATAGTCCCTTTGGTTCAGTATATTTCTACATTTTATGTTAGGTTCACTCCCTCTGGGGCACCTGGCATTGGCCACTGTAGGTAGACAGGATACTGGGCTAGATGGACCATTGGTCTGACCCGGTACGGCCGTTCTTATGTTCTTATGTTCTTAAATAGTTGCATGTTCCTTTTGGCTCTGGGAACTGCCATCGCAGGAATGATATGCCCATTTAGATTGATGTACAGAAGGCATGCCAAACCAGTCAGTAACATTGAAGAGACCTATTGACACTTAAAACAGACCAAAGAAAGAAACCAAGCCACACCTCAGAGAAGGAGTCCCAGGAGTCTTTGCGTGTAAGCTAACTTTAAGGAGCTGTCTTTTACTAAGCAGTAACTTTAGCTTATTTTGAAATTGCTGCAATCAATATTTTAGTAACATTAGTCACAAGGTATGTGCAGAGGTATAACACATAACATCACCCCGCAAAAGGGAATAAACAGTGACTAATCATAAAGTGTTGAGGAAGCTGGAAAGTTACCAGGGAACAGGGAACTTGGAGAATAACCAAAGAGATGAATAAACATGGTTGTACCAAAAGAAGGACATAGATAAAGATTAGAATGATAAACAATAAAGAATAAGGGTATAATTACCCTTCCATACGGAAACAGGAGGGAGTCAGTCTGGAGATAGGATGCAGGCTGTCAGTGAACTACAGAGGACCTCTTCCATAGCTGTTGTCAATTGTACCCTTCTCTTTGCATGTGCTGTCTTTACTAAATGTTAAATCAATTAATCTAATCGAAGTTGACTTATCCAAGGTTTGTTATTATTGAACCAATCCGGATTTGAGTTATCCCCTCTCATTAAACATACAATCACAGTTAAAATTGTATCATTTATTGGTGATCAGTTATTTGGTTATTGATTATCTGCAATTACTAATGACCAATTATTAATTATCAATAGATCACAACTCCACATTGGATCACTTACTTCCATAGATTTTTTTTTCCTACTGGAGCTTACTTTTACCATGTTTCTCTGTTACTCTATAATAACACTTTACAGTATAAATCTCAGATAGCACTAATGTTATTCCTAATGGGCACAAATCGATTCAATTCAATATCTACAAGGATTTGAACTATGCATTTTTCTTTTGCTATACTATTCCATACAGATGTTGATTTGCACAGTCTAAAGTATCTTAAATTATTGATTTAATCCATCTGTGCACACTTGGAATTATACTTCTCTTCTGCTGTTTAATATTTTCAATGTGCACCATAGCTAATTTCCAGCTGCAACAACCCTAGATTTTTTTTATTGTGCTTTAATTATAATAAAATATATTTTCTGACCTGCTTTCTTCCTGAGGCTTCAGCATGGACTTGTCAGTAAGTGACAGAATGACTGGGGAAGTGACTTGTCAGCTCTCTCTATTTTATGAGAATGAGGAAAATTCCTACTACCTAGTGGTTATAGAATACATTTTTAAAGGAAAAAACTGGTCATTAGTTGCTAATCCCTCCTTGACTTTCAGAATATATTTTCCTTGCCATTGGTTTCACAATCTTCCAACTTTTTTAATTCTAAAAGACTGTCCTTTGTATTTCTTTGCACAAATCCTATAATTTAGGCCCTGATCATATGTTGGTACCCGTTAAATTAGTTGATTTCAATTGCAGTTGAAGCACTCATCAATCCACAGAGGAGCTGAATATGCACGTGATGAGAAACTTCCATTAAAGTCAATGGGTGAGATTTTCACTTTCATTCTAGTCCCTTTATGCCCCTAACAGCCTCAGATCTCACTGGTGGACAATTCCCCTAGTGTACAAACTATAGAAAACACCTACAAGCTATCGAGGACCCAGTCACAAGCTCTTGAGTAGGGAGCATTGTGGAGGTAGGGATGTGGGTCAGAGGGTTTGCTGGGCATAAGGCTTCATCACCTAATGCCGGGGTGATTCCAGACAGAGCTGTGGCCCACTGGACAACCTCTAGAAGCTGCTTTTATGTAGAGAGTCACCCCTTTATCCTTAGAGCTTTGAGGCACAGCACAGAATTTCACCCCATGGGAACCGAGGGTACTTAACTCTTGGCAGGATCAAGCACCACATTAGGCATTAAGGATGTAAAGAGGTTCTTTGGTACTGCAGTCCAGTGCTCCACTGTCACTATTATCATCATTTTCAAGTGACCATTCCTTGTCTCCAGGAATTATTTTGATCAGAATATTTAACATGTTGAAGTCATTTAAAAAGAAGGATTGATGGGCTAGTTTGAATGAAAAGAAGATTAGAACTGAATGTTTAATCTACTTTTATACTAAATATGAAGCCTCTCTCAGCACTTAAAAAATAATATTCCTATGCTTAGTAAACGCTGTAAAATACCCTAACCACCCACAACTAAGGGATATGATTTTTCTGCTCATTTTGAAAATGGTAATTGTGCATGCATGCACTTTCAGTTTCAACACATAGGAATTAGTAGCAATTAAAGTATTCTGCACCTGGGTGAGGAAGAAGACACACCTGGAAGGTCTACACTTGTGGTTGTTTAGTTTATGGCTGCAATCAAATTTTCAAGATAATTAGCAATCTAATTGCACTTACTAATTAAGGGTCTGACTTGGGAAGCACTTATGCATGAAAATAACTCTACTTGAGTAATACCACATGGAGAATCGGGCCCTTATCTAAACTTGTAGCTACATTTCTACTCAGTCTAAGATAGTTTATTGTGCTACAGCAAGGGATCTGAAACAAACAACAATTTCCCAATATCTTTTCTGTGGACTTCTGCAAATTTGTAATTGCTTGTAGGTGTAAATTATAAAGTACATTCAAGAGCATATCAAGGTTTTTCTTCTCCAAAGAGATCAGATTTTTCTACCCAAATGCTCACTGAAGTGTTCCCCCTCCCCTAAATAAAAGGCCTGACCTGGAATATAGACATTAACATAAATACCAGATCAGAGCAATAATGGATTTAGCTTGTTAATGTGTTACCAACAACTCTGCCAGTACAGGTTGCTTCAGAAAGTGCAAGAAACATGCTGGTGGACAATTGTCAGAGAAGAGTTTTCCCTAAACGTGAACACCTAGTGGTTGACATATTCGCCAGCAGGATGGCTAACTTAGTGAGGAGGGCTTTAAACTAGGTTCACCGGGGGAAGGAGACCAAAGCCCTGAGGTAAGTGGGGAAATGGGATACCGGGAGGAAGCACGAGCAGGAGAGTGCAAGAGGGGAGAACTCCTGTCTCAGGCTGAGAAAGCGGGACAATCAGTGAGTTGTCTTAAGTGCCTATACACAAATGCAAGAAGCCTGGGAAACAAGCAGGGAGAAATGTAAGTCCTGGCACAGTCAAGGAACTATGATGTCATAGGAATAACAGAGACTTGGTGGGATAACTCACATGACTGGAGTACTGTCATGGATGGATATAAACTGTTCAGGAAGGACAGGCAGGGCAGAAAAGGTGGGGGAGTTGCATTGTATGTAAGAGAGGAGTATGACTGCTCAGAGCTCCGGTATGAAACTGCAGAAAAACCTGAGAGTCTCTGGATTAAGGTTAGAAGTGTGAGCAACAAGGGTGATGTCATGGTGCAAGTCTGTTATAGACCACCAGACCAAGGGGATGAGGTGGACGAGGCTTTCTTTCAGCAACTAGCAGAAGTTACTAGATCACAGGCCCTGGTTCTCATGGGAGACTTTAATCACCCTGATATCTGCTGGGAGAGCAATACAGTGGTGCACAGACAATCTAGGAAGTTTTTGGAAAGTGTAGGGGACAATTTCCTGGTGCAAGTGCTGGAGGAACCAACTAGGGGCAGAGTTCTTCTTGACCTGCTGCTCACAAACCGGGAAGAATTAGTAAGGGAAGCAAAAGTGGATGGGAACCAGGGAAGCAGTGACCATGAGATGGTCGAGTTCAGGATCCTGACACAAGGAAGAAAGGAGAGCAGCAGAATATGGACCCTGGACTTCAGAAAAGCAGACGTTGACTCCCTCAGGGAACTGATGGGCAGGATCCCCTGGGAGAATAACATGAGGGGGAAAGGAATCCAGGAGAGCTGGCTGTATTTTAAAGAATCCTTATTGAGGTTGCAGTAAAAAAGACATCCCGATGTGTAGAAAGAACAGTAAATATGGCAGGCGACCAGCTTGGCTTAACAGTGAAATCCTTGCTGATTTTAAATGCAAAAAAGAAGCTTACAAGAAGTGGAAGATTGGACAAATGACCAGGAAGAGTATAAAAATATTGCTCAGGCATGCAGGAGTGAAATCAGGAAGGCCAAATCACACTTGGAGTTGAAGCTAGCAAGAGATGTTAAGAGTAACAAGAAGGGTTTCTTCAGGTATGTTAGCAACAAGAAGAAAGTCAAGGAAAGTGTGGGACCCTTACTGAATGAGGGAGGCAACCTAGTGACAGAGGATGTGGAAAAAGCTAATGCACTCAGTGATTTTTTTGCCTCTGTCTTCACGAACAAGTTCAGCTCCCAGACTGCTGCACTGGGCAGCACAGTATGGGGAGAAAGTGACCAGCCCTCTGTAAGAAAGAAGTGGTTCGGGACTATTTAGAAAAACTGGACAAGCACAAGTCCATGGGGCCGGATGCGCTGCATCCGAGGGTGCTAAAGGAGTTGGCAGATGTGATGGCAGAGCCATTGGCCATTATCTTTGAAAACTCATGGCGATCGGGGGAGGTCCTGGATGACTGGAAAAAGGCTAATGCAGTGCCCATCTTTAAAAAAGGGAAGAAGGAAGATCCGGGGAACTACAGGCCAGTCAGCCTCACCTCAGTCCCTGGAAAAATCATGGAGCAGGTCCTCAAGGAATCAATTCTGAAGCACTTAGAGGAGAGGAAAGTGATCAGGAACAGTCAGCATGGATTCACCAAGGGCAAGTCATGCCTGACTAAGCTAATTGCCTTCTATGAGGAGATAATAGGCTCTGTGGATGAGGGGAAAGCAGTGTGTTATTCCTTGACTTTAGCAAAGCTTTTGATACAGTCTCCCACAGTATTCTTGCCAGCAAGTTAAAGAAGTATTGGGTGGATGAATGAACTATAAGGTGGATAGAAAACTGGCTAGATCGTCGGGCTCAATGGGTAGTGATCAACGGCTCCATGTCTAGTTGACAGCCAGTTTCAAGTGGAGTGCCTCAAGGGTCGGTTCTGGGGCCGGTTTTGTTCAATATCTTCATTAATGATCTGTAGGATGACGTGGACTGCACTCTCAGCAAGTTTGCAGATGACACTAAACTGGGAGAAGTGGTAGATATGCTGGAGGGTAGGGATAGGATACAGAGGGACGTAGACAAATTAGAGGATTGGGCCAAAAGAAACCTGGTGAGGTTCAACAAGGACAAGTGCAGAGTCCTGCACTTAGGACGGAAGAATCCCATTCACTGTTACAGACTAGAGACCGAATGGCTAGCAAGCAGTTCTGCAGAAAAGGACCTAGGGGTTATAGTGGACGAGAAGCTGGATATGAGTCAACAGTGTGCCCTTGTTGCCAAGAAGGCTAACGACATTTTGGGCTGTATAAGTACGGGCATTGCCAGCAGATCGAGGGACGTGATCATTCCCCTCTATTCGACATTGGTGCGGCCTCACCTGCAGTACTGTGTCCAGCTTTGCGCCCCCCACAGCCAGAACGATGTGGAAA